AATAAATGATAATAAAGTGCAATGAAATACCAATAAAGTACTATATGTAATGCTTTGCAGGTTAGTTAGATAGATTTTGTTAGGTAGAGGCTGAGTAGCAGCCTGGGGTTGAATCAGCCTGGAGAGTGAGGTAGTGAGGTTACCTCAGGAAAGGCTGGGAGGCTCTATAAGATCAGGGCTTCTGGTACCCTCCCACCTTTCCAGAGAGTTAAGAACTTTTTGGAACAGGGGAGGCGGCCCAGATCTGCATGTTTAAGGGACCTTGGCCAATAAATCCCCTGGCAGGAGGCTGGGCATGATGACCAAGACAAAATTCAAATATCAGAGAGCCTGGGGGAAAGTGTACAGTGTCAGGTGGAAGATGGACTGAGGAAGGCTGGAGTGTGGAGCCTGGGAGGGAGAACCTACCTACAAGCCGATTGATGGAGACGAGGATCTTCACTGTACCATTGTCTCCAAGGGAGGACATTCTGATCAGCAGGGAAGGAGCCAGCCCAGCAGAAGGCATAAAGGCAGCCACCAACCCATAAAGCTGACATGAAAGGACAGTGTGAGTACTCTTACACTCCCTGGGCCGGATAAGGGGAGATGGAAGTCAGATGCTAGACCCAACTAGCTTCTCATCTGGGAGTGTTCTAAATGAACAGCTCTTGGGCCTCCTTGCTCAGGGATACCCTCAGGCAGCTGCGTGAGGAGGAATCATTCGGGGTCTGAGGAGGTACAACTAAGAACCTTTGGTGCTCTTCAAGAAAAGACTGTTGCTAATCTGTTGTACATAGTTGCTAAGGAGTTGTCCTTAAATTCTACAGTTCTCCAGGCATCCCATATACCCCTAGACCCTATCCAAGTTTAATCCCTCAATAAAATCACAAAACCAATCTCAAGGACTGTTTACTGACTCCAGTGTGCAAAGTGTGAAAATGTGTGTTGCCTGGCCATGCAGAGCATAGGGGGACCCAATTCAAATCCAGCAGCCTCTAAGGGGGTAGTGCTACATGTTTATTGAATCAGTAACTTACAAAAGATAACTTGAACACACAAGTAATATATGTTCTCAGTGGTGGTATCTTGTTTCAGTGTGACAATACATTCCCTCTTGGTGCCATTGTAGGGGTCCCCTTTTCCATTTCTTCGGAATTATGCAGCGTGACAGCTGATGGCAGGGTTACACACTGAATTCCAGCAACTACTGCCATTCCGCATGGTAGGTCTCCTGTACTAGAATATAAACAAATGATCAGGTTTCTTATATTGCCCCAATTCCCTCCACTGCTTACACTCATTTAACATTTGCCTCCCCCATAGTGTAGTGAAAGGGTCCTTTGTAAGCTCTATGTCAGGTTGGTCACAACCTATTCAGAGCTAAGAATCCTCCCTCTTTCCCATCTGATAGCACCCAAGCCTGTTGCTTGCCTGCTTAAGCATCTAGTACTGCAGGGGGAGAGTCACATGCTCCCACATGCTGGGTATTCTATTTTACTTTAACTTTAATAGATAGGCAGATGGTTCCTTGGTGGGAACAAATAGTGGAGAAACAACTTTTATGTTGTCAGTAACACTAGAATCCATCACTATTTCTTGTGCTTTCCAAGCTAAAGTGCCACGAACATTTTTTACCAATTCTCACTGAGAAGATGGAAGGATCAGATAAGTTACACTGCATTTTTCAACTTGTTAGATCTCTTTGTGCCATTATAAACACTTTAAATGTTTGACTATGCCCGGTATTGCCTGCTGGAGGTCTGATATCCTGTCATAATTGGGTGATTTATTGCTAATTAGGGTCAGAGACATCCTGTTTTTATGTGTGTAACCAGGTGCTGGGCTACAGCATTAAGGAGAAGGAGACCTTGCCTTTTATTCTTCTCTCCCTTTACTATGATACTAATGTTATGCTGCACCATTCTCCTCTAGACAGCAGGAAGAGAGCTAAAACAAAGCAAGCCCATAGACTTCTAGGCAGAGTGCTGAGAAGGAAGGGGAGTGGTTAGGTGAGTTTTATCTGCCCAGGAGAGCTCTTCCTCTTGGGAACGTGAGAACGGAGAAGAGCACATTTGCCACACACTGACCAGACTGCGGAGAGACTAGACCAGCAGAGATTGAGCCTGAGACCTGAGAAGCGAGATGCCCGGCACAGTGCAACACAGATCGCAATGCGTCCTCTAACCTGGAGCTTCCTCTCACCCAGAGCTTCCTCTCATGTAGAGTTTCCTGTTGCTGATCATCAGAGGTATCCAGTGGAGAGACAAGGGGCCTCCTCTTCTACAGCCAGAGGTCACCGCAGTATCCCTGGGACTGGAAAGAGGACTTTTGCCCATTGCCGATATTTCCAGCAGGGACTGAGCCACTGAGAGCAGGACACTTAGTGTACCCAATCCATACTGCACATTATACCACAATTATTCCAAACCTAAACTACACCTATACCAACCCTATACTGCATTATAGCAAACCTTTACCACATCTAAACCATATCTACCCTCACACCTGTGTCAAGTCTATTCCGTACCTTCACTGTACCTGTATCTATGTTGTTAAGTGCACTGATGCTCTTAAAGGGCTCCACTGATAGCTGGGGAAGAACATCTAAAATGACTGCCCTTCCTTTATTCTGCAAGCCCCGTTTGTTCCCTTGCCCACTCTGTTACCTTCCTGCTTTTCTTTTGGACAGTGCATACCCAGTCGCCCCATAAATGCTCTCTGGCAGTATAGTTCCAGTACTCAGTAGATTAAACTTTACTACTGTTCACTGCTGCACTTGAGGAGGCCTTGCTACTATTCATTGTGATCTGGATTCCAAGAGTCATCTTATGCCTAGTCCTTACTGTTAATCATTTTGTATGCTAAATTGTGCTATTACCATTGTTAATCCATTTTATGCTTGCCTAGTTACTAACCAAATTGATTGACAATATTTTAAGTTTGACTTTACTACCTGGTTTGGTGCCTGATTTCTTTGATATAGCAGTACTACTGGGTACTGAGTATTACTTTTAGTGGTTTTCTGTGATATAGTATGTTTGTATACTCAACCTGGTGTGTCCGAGGGGCTGAGGTTCTTGAGGAGGTCAAGGCAAAGAACAGAGGACCCCTCCCATTCAGTGGCTACTACAAGTTTGGTGCTACATGTACATACAGTAAATCAGTGTACACTTCCTTACAAAACAGTTTGAGAAATGGACATTGTCATCAAATGTGTATAAAGGGGCCAGTGTTAGCTATTGGGGAAGTTCTTGAGCAAACTAGAAGAATTTACTTAAACTGTGAATATCATATTATATCTGATAATGATAATAATAATAATACAGTATGCGAAAGGAATATGTGAACCAGTGGATTACAGCACAAAGAACACATTTCTTGATTCAGCAGAGGGGAGTATGGAAACAAAGTATTACATTTACATTAGGGAGGGTTAATGTTAAAGTGACAGGAAGGGTTAGTGTTTAGGGTTACCGGGAGGATTATAGTTGAGGTTATAGGCTGTGGTGTATTTAGGTTTTGTGCTGCTCTAGGCAACACTAAAATTTGGCACCCCCCCACTCTATATGTCCGTATGTAGAATATTGTAGTGATGCTGGCTCCATTCCTCTCCTCTCTGTACCCCCAGAGCTGACACTCTATACGTCTGTACACAGTATAATGTAGTGATGCTGGCTCCATCCCTCTCCTCCTCCCTATTATATAACCTGTCAGTGGTGCTGATGCTACTAAGCTTCTCTCTCCTCATCCCCCCGTCGGCGGTGCTGTCATTCGGTGGTGCAGAGCAGTCAGGGTTGGGCTGGCCGGGTCCTGGGATGTAGATCCTCTTGGAGAACCTGGTTCGGGCTGTGCTTTACCTGCAGGAACTGACCAACATTGTGCAGTACCAGCAGAGCCCCATCCACACCCAGCGGCAGCAGATCGATCCTCAGTCTCCTTCTGGATGCCACATCATGTCTCTCCTTTGGGGGGGGGGGCACTGCCCCCCTGAAAATTGCCTCCCAAGGCAAACGTCCTTTTTGTCTTGCAGTAATTATGCCCCTGGTTACAGGGAAGATTAAAATTGGGGTAAAAAGGAGGGTTAGTGTTTGAGTCAGAGATTTAATGACCACTGGTTAAGTTAGTATAAGTGCAGGTTGTAAATTTAGAGAGGTTAGTATTCAAACTGGGGCTTTATGTAGGATTGCTGTTAAGTTTACAAGGAGGGTTACTTTGAAGATACGTGTATTTTAGGATTGCAAAAAAGGTTAGTATAGGGTTGCAGGTTACAAGGGGGGTTTAGTATTATGGTTATAGGGAGGGTACTAGAATTACAGGAAGAGTTGGTGTGAGGGTAAGTGTTAGGGTTACAAGAAGGGTTTGGATTGGGGAAAAGGTATATAGAAAGTTGGTGTTGGGGTTATAGGGAAGGTTAGAGTGAGGTTGTAAGTGCTACGATTACAGGGAATTAGGATAACTGGAAGGGGTGGCGTTGGGGTTGAGGTTACAAGGACGGCTGCTGTTGGGCTTTGGATTACAGGGGTGTTAGTGTTAGGGTAACAGGAAGGGTTAATGTTAGGGGAAAGGGAAGTATGAGGAGGACTTTTGGTACTGCATAGCTCTTAGGACCAAACTTCTATCAGCAAAAAGAATATCACACTGGGGTGTATGTATGAGGTGTATGTATGGACTGGCATTTCCACTAACTAGAATGAGAAACACCATTTCTACCTTGCCTTATATATGTTTATCAAACAGGGCAGACATTTGCACCCACTGTTGCACAGGGATTTCACAGTATGACATATTGCCTCACATTTCAGGTGTGCTAAGCCCTATACAACCAATGTCAGTCCATTAAAATTTCTCTTACCTCTTATGTCTGTGTCTGTTTTATCTTGTTAGGTGTTTCAGTGGTGATCAACCCACGTGTTCCACTTTTCATGTCCATTGAGAAAAACAAGTCATTTTGTGTGAAGACACCTGCAAGCACAGAGAGACTCCCTCTACAATATACAATATGCATTGGGCAGAATATCCGATCTGTTCACCAGGATGTAGGAATCCATCTTTATGAAAACCAAAGGACACCTCCAAACATTAATATTTTTAGGTAACATTAAGATAAGAAATGTATCCTATTAAAAAGATGTATACTATGATTTGTATGGAGGGAAAGAATTGAAGCTGAAAGGTGTAGGTATTGGTCCAGATAAGAATTTTTATTTTTCACAATAAAAGGGTCCATCAAAATTCGAGAGCCAATGGGAAAGATTTGCTAAAATGTTGCATACACAATTTGGTGTAGCTGCAAATATTAGTTAGTTGTTTTAGTAAATCTACCCCAAAATGTTTCAGGGATCATGCACAAATTTCCATCAGGGCTTAAGTTTACTTTGCAAAAGCAATCTGGACATTTGGTTAATTAGTTCTTTAAAAATAATAGTTTGAAGCTTGCACAGTAGAGTTGTCTGTTGTTTCATTCCATATGTTATGATTTAATAGCAATGGCATTACCAATTAGAAGAAGGTAGACATTTATATGACCTTGCCATGACAACATCATGAGAAAGTATTTAAGAAAACATATGTAAGTGGCTTTTTATCCTGCTCAGGATGCCAGTCTGGAGACACTATGGTATATCAGATTCTGCTGCAAAACTTGAAAGAGAAGTCAAATCGTTCCATAATAAATTAAAGAGGTACGGCCTAGGAGAATGCCTCATTTCTCTCAATGAACATTCCACTAAGTTACTTTCTAGCAAGGTAAGCCTTCACCTTATTTGTCCCACATAGTAAACATCAGACTGCTCATCTCAAATCCGACACTATTTCCATAAAATTGCATTGTGCACCTCCACTGTCAACTGATCTGGGGCAGCTTGGGTATGTAGAGACACAGAGCAGTGGTCCACCTGTTAACAATAAGGCTTTCTAGCACTGGAGTTCTGAATTCACATTTTACTAGGATATGTTGTCCCATGTTTACCTGAATTTTCCCTTATCATTCTGGTTTCCATTCACAATTAAAAAAAAATAAGTTTAGCTTAATTTGCTTCAACCCAAAATTATAGCAAGATTTATATCTCTATGAAAATGGTTGGGACCACTGAAGTATCTAGTTGTATATAGTCTTCCCTAAATGACAAGTTCATCACAACTTAATTGTGCATGGACCAAAGAGCAATTGCGGAGCAGTAAGGGAGAAGGGTTGAAATGAACAGTTAGGAAGCATATTCTTTATGAAGTCTTTATTGAGTAATATTGTTCCAAACTAATAAAAGAAAAAGTAGCCTATTGATATCATATAAACATTTAAACAACCAGTTTATGGTACTGTAGGTTGAAAGAGGTTGCATCAGACTGAATGCACAATTTGGTGATTTGCTCTGGAAGCCAGCATGAGCATAATTCAAGGAGTGGGTAGAAGACATCAAGGAGTCCTATGAAAACAAAATTAATGTCTTTATTGGCTTTACAACAGTAGAACACATGCAGTGCAGTTAGATTAAATAAGCACTAAGAAAAGAAGATACCAAATTAATAGGAGTGCCTGCTGAGAAACTAATTTTTTTCCCAAGACTATCATGCTTGTCTTTAGGCTCAACCCTTCATCCCTGTAAATTTGTTCAAATATATTTTTGCCTGCAACAATATTAACAGGATGAAAGTGCAATTGTTTGAGCAATGTGGAATATTCCCTATAAATGGTGAAAACAGAGCTCCAATACCTAAAAAAATGCTAACACTAAAATTAGCTCAGAAGTGTCCAAAAGTTACTAAATTCTTTGCTTTTGCAACCATTCAAAAAAAAACCTGTAGTAAGCATGGAGTCTGCCATTCCTGACCTTTATTTGTCTCTCTGATCCAGTGGCTTGATTACTTTTTAAAGCTGGCCATACACTGAGCAAAACATGGCTGATTGATTAAGGATCGGCCAAATATCGATTAGTGTGTCAGCCATCCAGCTGACAGAAGTTGATTGTTGAATCCACTTCTATCAAAGAGACATGTTGGAAAATTGTCCATCATTCAGCAGATGCAGCCAATCAACTGCAGTCACTGGTTAGTGTTGCTGTCAGAACATAGTGTCCTAGTAGGGGAAGGGGTGAGGAATTCCTCAATCCACATTTGTGTGGATGGAAGAAATTGTTAATTTCTTTTTGTTTAGCCTACTAGCTGAACAAAGTGGCCTTAGTACTTTTTAAAGCTGACCATCTGCTGATCAAAATTCAGCTGGTCCATCAGGGATGAGCTGAATTTCAAGGAGCGGAATAGAGGAGAGAGAGAGAGGTGCGCCAGACTAAGTGCAGTAAGATCATAACAGTTTATTGCACACAAGACATTAAAAACTCACAAGACGTGGGTATATATCAGGCATCAGGTATAAGAAGGAGGACGTCATCTGAGCTGCACATCACGGGCGAATGGCTGCAGTACCAGGGTATTCACAATGGCTGGCGCTCTAGGCGGGTCCCACAGGAAGGAGCGAGGATGGCAGGCGCAGTTACTGGGAGTCGCGGTGCAGGGAGGAACTGTGCTCAGGGCGGGCGCTGCTGGTTTCTCACATAAGCGTGGGTTATGGGGCCAGCTTGAGGCGCATCCAAGATGGCCGCTGAGCAGAAGTGACGTCAAGACGTTGCTGGGAGTCGTCCAAGGGGTGGTGACGCGTTTCAAGGCAACCAGCCTTTTCATCAGGCCTCATCAGAGGCTCAGATGACGTCCTTCTTATACCTGATGCCTGATATATACCCAGGTCTTGTGAGTTTTAAATATCTTGTGTGCAATAAACTGTTATGATCTTACTGCACTTAGTCTGGCGCACCTCTCTCTCTCCTCTATTCCTCTACTACAGAGTCCGGTTTACTCTAGAGAGTGCAAGCCTCACGACGGTACTACATTGCCTTCTATTCACTTACCATCTATTCCTTCCCAGTACTGCCTGTACTACAAGTCTCCTTCCTCCCTCCCCCCCTCCTCCTACTACTCAAGCTGCACAACCCGCCTTGTACTCCGAATATATATATATATATATATATATATATATATATATATATATATATATATACACATATATATATGCCCCATTTCCTGTGTCATTTCGTCTTTTAAAAAAAACCCCAACAACTGAACTATTCATATATCGCCTAAGACTTTCTGTGTGAACTATATACCCATCACCACCTCTCTTACGCCAATTACATCTTCTGAATTTCAAGCAGCGTCTCAGGTCTCCTGGTTGACAGAAGTTGATTGTTTAATCGTGGGACGTGTTTCCATCATTCAGTGGCTGCAGCCAATCAGCTGTATTCACTGATCAGTGTCGCTGTCAAAATATAGCGGGGAGCTGGGGATTCCTCCATAGTGGGGGGCTGGGGAATTATTTGTGTGGATATAGGAAACTGTTTTTTTTTTTCTTTAGCCTGTTAGCTGAACAAAATTACCAGTGTTTGGGTCATGTGTCATGTGCAGAATTCCTGTTGTTTTCCATTTCACATGTCTGGGTAGTCAATATTAACCCAATTAACTTGGAACAAGTATGCAGATCTGGACTTCCTTCTGACTTTCTTAATCTACATGCTTGCTCCAGGTCAGCATCACCAACCAATTGATTCAAGGACAGTCAGACAGCTAACTTTCCAACAAGGAGGATGGCAACAGAGACCTTTGGATTTCTTTCAGTACAGGTTACCTTTCAGCAAGGGAGGGATAAGTAAAAATGCTTTTTTGAAGGATTCGTTCACACAGCCTTACCTTGTGTAAGGGCCTGGTTTGCCAGTATGGGGATGCACAGGTGTTCCATGCATCCCCGTGCAGGCAGTCTCATTCATGTCAATTGGGTCACAGTGCCTGCACAGACACAGCCGCTGCTCCCAATTTGACAGCTGGGCGCACACTATCGACATTCAGGGCTATGCACTCGTACAACTGTCAAATTGGGAGCAGCAGCTGTGTCCGTGGAGCCTGACTGACATGAATGGGACTGCCTGCACTGGGATGCACGGAACATCTGGGAACCCCTGTAGGGGCAAACCAGGCCCTCGCACGGTCGCACATCTAAGTACTCCCATATGAACGAGGCTTTACATTTTTTACTTTTTAAAACATCAACAGCCACTATAAAGTGACCCTGTCATTTCTATAAGAAAATACAGCCAGCTGCTTCTTCCAATTCAAGTAAAGGAATACTTAATTCTTTGCAGGCTGATCTTTGTTATCTTCATCAACTATGGGCTCCACTGCTATTTGACTTTTCCCAATTTGTCAGATAGTTTGTCACCAGTGGGTTCTGTGGTTATTCCCACCAGCTAGAAGAACAATGGCATCCCTCAATACTCAGTACGGAGACACCTTATCTGACACATCTGGAAGTGTCAGATAGCAGCGGCATCTGGAGCTTATGAAGACAGGGAGGGAAAATTTCACTCAATGCCAAATGGGAAGGTGAAGTATTCAGTTTCAAGTATTCCAGGGAGCAGTGAGTGTGTTTACGTACAGAAGCAACATGGTGCCTTAAATATATGGTAAATATTTAAGTGTACAGCTGTCCTTAAGATAAGTTATTTTAATGCTTCCTTCTTTATAGGACCACATACCTATTACAGACCAAGCAGGAGAGACTGACAGACATCGCAGGGATCCATACACTCTTAAGCACCTCAATCTCTCAGTAACCACATCTCCATATGCAAGCTTTAACTCTGAGGAGCTTCAAGATTATTTGCATAAAGGACAGGAAAACTACTGGCTCAGTCTCCCTTCAAAATTAGATGGATCAATGGTATGGTATGGTATAGTACCCATTAAAATGGAGTATATTTGGTTGGATTTACCATCGTGCAGAAGAGATCTGTACCTAGGGGTATTGGAGTTTAAAGGACCTATTGAAAAATTGGCAAAATCAATGTGTTGCTTTTTTTACTTAATGAAAACTATAGATTCTGGATGCTTATTATGAGATATGTATGTTGATTTAAAAAAAAAACTCACACTGTGCAAGACAGGACATAATTATACTTGGGTTTTCACATGTACCAAAAAAAAACTGCCTACATAGGTAAGTGGTGTCTGTAGACACAAACAAACTCTGCAGCTCTGACTAAAGTTGAACAATGCCCTTGCTATAGGTGTGGGCAATTGACATACCTCCTGAAACCTGACTGGCATACCACCAGGACATTGCTAGGACATTGCTAAGGCTGGCAATACATTATACAAATTTCTTATATACAGTATTTTTCCTTTAGATTTACCAAAATGATGTAATATGAAGTCAAATCTAAACACTTTCAATTTGTATGCAATCAGGCAGGCTCTTGCACTACATAGTTGAAGGTAAATCAAAAGGAAATTGAATAAGAAAATTGTATAATGTATGACCAGCTTAAGAGAGGTCTAGTCATTACAGTTCACCTCCACCACCACCACAGGAGTGAGCTCTCAACACTGAGCTCAGAGCTATTGCATCGGGGAGAGAACGGGCATGTGAGGGGGTCTGAATCAGAGAAAGAGCTCACTCCTGTGATGGCGGAGGTGAGTAATAATAACTAGGCCTCTCTTAGAAATGTTCTGAGAGTATTCCAGGTAGGCTTCAGGAGGTACATAAATGGCCTACACCTATAGCAAGGGCATTATTAAACTTGAGTCAGAGCTACAGAGTTGGTTCTTTATCTACATACACTACTCACCTGCGTAGGCAGTTTTTTTTTTTGGTAAAGGTGAACTTACCATTTAACACTGTGGAAAAGGCCGAGATGTGAATGAGTATGGAGTTTTTTTTTTTTTTTTTTTTTAATGACAGTACATTTGTCCTTTTAAAGGGAAATTGTAAGGGTATTTGGTCAGTGTTATCTTATTAGGGAGACTTGCAGGGTCAGATAAAGTAGTCTCATTCTGGGTAAAGCAACAATGTTACATGTGGGTATCCCCTATGAATTGCACTTTATTATTGAAATTAAGAAAAAAATGTAAATGCTGTTTTACAAAAGTGCATTGTTTACAGAATAAGAGTGGAACACGAAGGGTCCAGTGATTAAAAGAGAAAAGTATGGAAATAGTTTTTTTTTTCCCAAATTATACTTACCTAGGTGGTTGCAGCATCGGTCCAATGATGCATCTGTCCCCCTCCAGCTCTAAGTGTGAGAACTCAGCGGTCACATGATGAGTTCTCACAGCCGCTCTGAGCAGAGAGCGGTGACTGTCAGTCACCGCTGTCTGATCTGCCCCCCACAGCACTCACTGGAGTGTTGGACTGTGGAGGGGGAGGAAGCGGCTTACTCAGGCTCTTGAGAGTCAGAGCCAGATGCCACTCCAGACTCTGGGGTGGATCCCGACTTTAAAGTCGGGATCTTTCCCCAGCCTAGACTGGCTGAGTGACGTCAGCTGACAGAGGGTTTCAGCTCAGCTGAAAACAGGTCACAGGAATGCAGAACAAACTGCACTCCTGTGATCCATAGGAGAAGTACAGCCAAATGAGCTTTGGCTGTACTTCTCCTTTAAATCAGATTATGACGGACAATAAAACATATATTGTTATAATACATATTTTTTCATCATATATAAAAAATAATAAAATCATTGGTAGTGGGCACTTTTTGATCAAGTCAAGACAGGTGTGCAGTTATTTATTCAATATTTTACTTGTGTCAAGGGCCCACATGTAGTCAATGCCTACCAGAGAAATAATGGGCACATTTACTGTATGTATAAAAACTTAAACATATGACCAAGGCTCTTTTTCTACTTTTCTTCTCACAGGCACCAATTCTGACAAGATGGAAAGGCCAGTTTTCTGTGAGATTGAATATAACCAACAATGGTGCCGCTACATGGTACTTGAATAATGTAAAAAGTTTGATCAACAAACTTGGTACTAAATACATCAAATTTGAAGGGGTAGAAGGCAACACATTTCTAGAACAATCCATACAACCTCCAAGAGGCTTTGAGGGTGACCGTTATGCTGAAATGTTAGTTGGAGCAGTGACAAATTTGGGAAATTCTGCAATAGTTACAGCAAGTACAAGGTGAGGTAAACTCTTTCTGCATATAGACTCATACCTAACTATGGCAATTAACTATGCTTTGTATTTTTAAAGTTTTTGCTATTTATATCTTATAAACCATTTTCAATGACTTTGGTTACATTAAAGCTGAACTCTATGTAGATATAAAATACACAAATTAATTCTCTGCAATAATGAATACATTATGAAATGGATTTTTTGTAAAGCAATCAGTGTAAAGCCCAGAATTTAGCTTGCTAGCACCAGCAGGATTCTCCCCGCACCCATGGTTGCTATTCATAACAATACAGGATGATTAACTGCTTCCCAGCCACCCACAGCCTATAAAACGGTGGACAGGAAGCAGCGTCAATCACAGCAATCACATGGTAAACAATAGAAAGTAATCATCGGCTCTCTCCGCTCTCACACAGATCGGCTGTGAGAGCACAGAGAACTGTTGCTGCAGACTGTGAGTGCGCAGCAGCCTGCCAGGCGGCACATACACTCACAGACTGCAGTGCCAACCTGCCCCAGTGTCCCTGATCACTGCCCCAGTGCAATACCAATAAACAATGCAGGCAGTCCCGGTCATCTGTCCCAGTGCTCACAACAACGTTGCCATGCACCACACCAATGTCATGATCACCTGCATACCAGTGTCCTGATCACTGCCATACCTCATACCAGCGCCATAATCACCACCATAAGCTATACCAGCGCCATTATCATCGCCATATGCTTACCAGCTCCCTGATCATGCCCATATGCCGTACCAGTGCCCTGACCACTGCCACACCCCACACCAGCGTTCTGGTCACCCCATATGCCCTATCAGCGTCCTGATCACTGCCATACCCCATAACAGCGTCCTGATCACTGCCATACCTCATACCAGCATCCCAATCACCGCCATACCCCATATCAACGTCCTGGTCACCCCATATGCCATACCAGCATCTTGATCACTGCCATACATCATACAAGCATCCAGCATTTTATGGTCTTAACTGATCAATTTTCAAATATAGTGTTGCATGACTGAGTAATTGTCACTCAAAGTGTGACAGCGCGGAAAGGTGAAAATTGGCTTGGCCTGGAAGGAGGTGAAAGTGTCTGGACTTGAAGTGGTTAAGGTTGTACATATAGTCCATGAAAACATGTAACATATCTTTTTTGGCACAATATGATGTTGAAGTGTACGTTTGGTATTGCTATACTGAATATAATATTAGACCATAATGACATTACAAGGAATCATGGGGCATCCTCTTCTCAGAATTCCCATGAGCTTAAAGTCCAGGTTTTCTGTAAATCTATATCAGGGGTCCTCAAACTGCGGCCTGCGGGACATTTATCCGGCCAACCAAAAAAAAATGTAAAATGGTGCCGGCTGGCAAACAGCTAGGCTGCTCATTGGGTCCTCTGCTGAGAGGACCCAGCGAGCGGCAGCCTGGAAGCCCCAGATTTCACCTGCTGCTGCCAGAGGAGCAAAAGGAGAGGAGGAGAGCACACCAGGCACCAGGTACAGTGCATTGCGGTGTCCAGTGAATCAGAGTACAGTGTGTTACAGTGTACAGTGTATTGTGGTGTCCAGTGCATTACAGAGTACAGTGCATTGCAGTGTCCAGTTGTCCACTGCGTTACAGTATACAGTGCATGGCGGTATCCAGTGCGCTACAGTGTGCAGTGCATGGCGGTGTCCAGTGCGTTACAGTGTACAGTGGATTGTGGTGTCCAGTTGTCCAGTGCGTTACAGTGTACGGTGCATTGCGGTGTCTAGTGCGTTACAGTGTACAGTGCATTGCAGTGTCCAGTTGTCCAGTGCGTTACAGTGTACAGTGCATGGCCGTGTCCAGTGTGTTACAGTGTACAGTGTATTGTTGTGTCTAGTGCGTTACAGTGTGCATGGCGGTGTCCAGTTGTCCAGTGCATTACAGTGTACAGTGCATGGCGGTGTCCAGTGCGCTACAGTGTACAGTGCATGGTGGTGTACAGTGCATAACAGTGTCCAGTGTGCTACAGTGTACAGTGCATGGTGGTGTCCAGTGCTTTACAGTGTACAGTGCATGGCGGAGTCCAGTGCGTTACAGTGTACAGTGCATTGTGATGTCTAGTGCGTTACAGTGTACAGTAGATTGCGGTGTCCAGTGCATTAGTGTACGGTGCATTTCAGTGTCTAGTGCGTTACAGAGTACAGTGCATGGTGGTGTCCAGTACGTTACAGAGTATAGTGCATGGCGGAGTCCAGTGTGTTACAGTGTACAGTGAATTGTGGTATCAAGTGTGTTACAGTGTACAGTGTAAATATTGTATTGTTTTTTCCTGTTTTTTTTGCATTACAAATAAGATATGTGCGGTGTGCATAGGAATTTGTTCTTATTTTTTTCAAACTATAGTCCATCCCCCCCCCAACAGTGTTAAGGTCTGTGAACTGGCCCCTTGTTTAAAAAGTTTGAGGACCCCTGCTCTATATAGTTTGTTGGGGCCAGGCTGGCCCATGCAAACTATTTTCCATACTAAGTGAACAGCTTCTGTGAGCACTATATTATACTGTAGTAGCATCACCTACATACAGTATAAAGCACTGTGTTCTGGCAGTGGCTCGGCAGACTTGCAGTCTGAGTGTTTCTCAACCATTCAGAGGAAGCCATGTAGTTTTATCAATGAATACAAGACTTCCTCTGGCCAAGGTGGAGAGGCAGGCAGATGATTATTATTATACAGGATTTATATAGCGCCAACAGTTTGCGCAGCGTTTTCCAATATAAGGGAGACAATACAATTACAATACATTTCAGTACAGAAGGAGGGCCCTGCTCGTGGAGCTTACAATCATCTAATGATCTCCATCTCTGCAGTTATTGCAATCATCTAAATAATGTATAGTATTGCTTAAGAAACTCTTTTTAAAAGTATTCTGCAGTAAATTATCTCAATGTTCTCTTTGAACAGGTCTAGCTATCTGCCATTCTTTGTTCAAATGAGCCCTCTGCAGTCAGACTGGAGCTACAGTGGACTGAAAGGAATCATCCCATCTGTGCTGCACTACAGTTTGCTAGGATACAATTTTTTCATTCCAGATGCAATAGGTAATTTGTTTTTCAGTTAATTCAATTTTCAGCTCAGCTACCACAGACAGCAGTCTGAATTCTTCATATATTCTATTAGATGGCACACGGTATAGGAATATTATATTGTGAACAACTATCAAACCCTGCTCTACTCCACCCAAAATGTAACAATCTATTTTAGTGAAGTTTACAATATACGAGGGGTGACTGAAAAGTCCTCAGCCTACCCATGAAGCATTTGTCTTAGCCCAATTTTATTTTTGCTACTCATAGTACATATCTTTGCAAGGTTCCATACCAAATGTCTCACAAATCACTTTTTTTTTGTTTCAGTTATTGAAGACTGAAGCATAGAAGGTCATCATTGTCTGAAAGATGGAGAAAGTGAACAAATGTGCTGTTATATACAATACCTGCTGAAAAAGGGAATGAGTGGACAGGACATCCACAAAGACATGATGGAAACATTAGGGGAGGATGACCCTTCCTATTTAACCGTTAAAAAGTGGGTGGCGGAATTCAAGAGGGGGAATCCCTCTGTCGAAGTTGCCCTTCGCAGTGGAAGGCCAACAACTGCCTGTACGGAGGAAAACATCACAGCAATCCAGGATCTCGTAATGGCAGACAGGCGTGTGACAGAACATTTCATCGCAGAGAAAGTGGGCATATCCCAGGAATAAATTGGACACATTTTAACAGTAGTACTGGACATGCACAAGGTGTCAAGTCGATGGGTCCTGTGAATGTTGACTGTTGAAAACAAACGCGACAGACAGTAGGTATTGGATAACAGCACGTTTGCTGACTTTCTCCATCTTTCAGACAATGATGACCTTCTGCTCTTCAGTCTTCAATAACTGAAAAAAAGAAATAGCTATTTGTGAGAAATTTGGTATGGAACCTTGCAAAGATATGTACTTTGAGTAGCAAACATAAAATTGGGCTAAGACAAATACTTCATGGGTAAGCTGAGAACGTTTCAGTCACCCCTTGTATATACACTGCTCAAACAATTTAAAGGAACACTTTTTAATCAGAGTATAGCATCAAGTCAATTAAACTCCTGGGATATTAATCTGGTCAGTTAAGTAGCAGAGGGGGTTGTTAATCATTTCAGCTGCTTTGGTGTTAATGAACATAACAACAGGTGCACTAGATGGGCAACAATGAGACGACCCTTAAAACAAAAATGGTTTTACAGGTGGAGTCCACTGATATTTTTTTCCCTACTCATCTTTGCTGACTGTTTTTCACTAGTTTTTCATTTGGCTAGGGCCAGTGTCACTACTGGTAGCATGAGGCGATACCTGGACCCTACAGAGGTTACACAGGCAGTCCAACTCCTCCAGGATGGCACATCAATACGTACCATTGCCAGAAGGTTTGCTGTGTCTCCCAGCACAGTCTCAAGAGCATGGAGGAGATTCCAGGAGACAGGCAGTTACTCTAGGAGAGCTAGACAGGGTCATAGAAGGTCCTTATGCCATCAGCAGGACCGGTATCTGCTCTTTTGTGCAAGGAGGAACAGGATGAGCACTGCCAGAGTCCTACAAAATGACCTCCAGCAGGCCACTGGTGTGAATGTCTCTGAAAAAACAATCAGAAACAGACTTCATGAGGGTGGCCTGAGGGGGCCCGACATCCACTTGTGGCCCTATGCTCATTGCCCGGCACCATAGAGCTCGATTGGCATTTGGCGTTAAACACCAGAATTGGCAGGTCCACCACTGGCACCCTGTACTTTTTACAAATGAGAGCAGGTTCACCCTGAGCACATGTGACGTCACAAAGGGTCTAGAGAAGCTGTGCAGAATGTTATGTTGCCTGTAATATCGTTCAGCATGACCGTTTTGGTGGTGGGTCA